TTAAATTCTACATAGTTAATTTCCACACTGTTAAACCATACACAAATTATTTTTTAATTGTACACAATTAAATTGTACAATGTTAAACTCTACGCAAATTTATTTCATAACAAAAAATAAGTTTTGTTTAATTCTGCACAGTTAAATTGCACACCGTTAAACCATATACAATGTATTTTTTAAATTCTATACATTTCAATTGTACAATGTTAAACTCTGCACCAATTTATTCTTTAGTGAAAAATTAATTTTGTTAAATTCCACTCTGTTTAACTCTAAACTGTTAAATTCTACACAAATTTATTTTGTAAATGAAAAATTAATTTTGTTGAATTCTACACAGATAAATTCCACACCGTTAAACTCTTCACAAAATTTAATTTTAAAAAAATATAAAATTTATTGAACTCTACACAGCTAAATTGCACATTGTTAAACTCTAAACAATTTAGTTTTTAAATCCTACATAATTAAATGCTACAATGTAAAATTCTACACAAATTTATTTCGCAATTAAAAATTAATTTTGTTAAATTCTACATAGTTAATATCCACGCAACGTTAAACATCAGACAAATTATTTCTTAAATTGTACAATGTTAAACTCTACGCAAATTTATTTAAAAAAAAAAAAAAATACCGCCATTTCGAATTTTGAAAAACTAACATTAGATTCGTAATCAGCAACCCCGAAAACCTCCCAATAATCAGGTTGCAAGAAAATGCATCCAAATTTTTAAATAATCATCCGCCATATTGGATCCGCCATTTTAAATATTGAAAATCTGATATCAGATTCGTAATCAGCGACCCAAAAAACCCCCGAGTAACAATTTTCTTGAAATGGCGGATTTTTTTTTTTTTAAATAAATTTGCGTAGAGTTTAACATTGTACAATTTAATTGTGTACAATTTAAGAAATAATTTGTCTGATGTTTAACGTTGCGTGGATATTAACTATGTAGAATTTAACAAAATTAATTTTTAATTGCGAAATAAATTTGTGTAGAATTTTACATTGTAGCATTTAATTATGTAGAATTTAAAAACTAAATTGTTTAGAGTTTAACAATGTGCAATTTAGCTGTGTAGAGTTCAATAAATTTTATATTTTTTTAAAATTAAATTTTGTGAAGAGTTTAACGGTGTGGAATTTATCTGTGTAGAATTCAACAAAATTAATTTTTCATTTACAAAATAAATTTGTGTAGAATTTAACAGTTTAGAGTTAAACAGAGTAGAATTTAACAAAATTAATTTTTCACTAAAGAATAAATTGGTGCAGAGTTTAACATTGTACAATTGAAATGTATAGAATTTAAAAAATACATTGTATATGGTTTAACGGTGTGCAATTTAACTGTGCAGAATTAAACAAAACTTATTTTTTGTTATGAAATAAATTTGCGTAGAGTTTAACATTGTACAATTTAATTGTGTACAATTAAAAAATAATTTGTGTATGGTTTAACAGTGTGGAAATTAACTATGTAGAATTTAACGAAATTAATTTTTAATTGCGAAATATATTTGTGTAGAATTTTACATTGTAGCATTTAATTGTTTAGAATTTAAAAACTAAATCGTTTAGAGTTTAGCAATGTGCAATTTAACGGGGTACAGTTTAATAAATTTTTATTTTTTTTAAATTAAATTTTGTGAAGAGTTTAACGGTGTGTAATTTAATTGTGTAGAATTTAATAAAATTAATTTTATATTATAAGATTAGTGTGTGTAGAGTTTAAGTGTGTTTAATTTAACTGTGAAGAGTTCAACAAATTTTATTTTCTATTATTAAATAAATTTGTGGACAGTTTAACGGTGAACAATTTAACTGTGTAGAATTTTATGCAATTAATTTTTCATTAGAGAATAAATCTGTGTAGAATTTAACGAGGTGGAATTTAACTGTGCAGAATTTAAAAAATAAATTCTTTAGTATTTAACAGTGAGCAATTTAACTGTGTAGAATTTAATCAATTTTATTTTCTATTATAAAATCAATTTATGAAGAGTTTGGCGGTGTGCAATTTAACGGTGTAGAATTTATTAAAATTAATTTTATATTATAATATTAGTTTTTGTAGAGTTTAACAATATGCAACTTAACTGTGTAGAGTTAAACAAATTTTATTTTATAATACAAAATAAATTTATGGAGAGTTTAACGGTGAACAATTTAACTGTGTAGAATTTTATGCAATTAATTTTTCATTACAAAATAAATATGTGTAGAATTTAACGATGTGGAATTTAACTGTGTTAAATTTAAGAAAATTAATTTTTTATTACAAAAGAAATATATGTAGAGTTTAACGTTGTGGTATTTAACCGTGTTGAATTTAAAGAAATTAATTTTTCACTACAAAATAAATTTGTGTAGAGTTTAACATTGTACACATTAAGTGTGTAGAATTTAAAAAATAAATTGTATAAGGTTTAACGGCGTGCAATTTAACTGTGTAGAGTTTGACGTGTAGGGTTTTAACGATGTAGAATTTAATTGTGTAGTATTTGAACCGCCCCTTATTGTTATTAAATCCTATGGATCAATATTCAGCGTGTTTTGAAATTCCACTTATATTGCATGTTAAATGTTTATTTATTGATAATGGAAATTTTAAAATTGAATGAAAGATTCGTCTTTCTCTTAGAAGATTAGCTGCCCTACCAGTTCATGCAATTTATAAAAATATCAGTTATTAAGTTTCAAGAGTATAGTAATAATTTTTGCACCACCGGGTGCAGAAAGAAGAAAGTACCTGTTTTTGCAATAATCACACTAAAATAAAAAGATGACGTAAATGCTATTTAATGTAATCCACAGTCAACACTGCCTTCTGGTTGCTGATCAAGAGCTACAAAAAAGTTATTTGAAGATATTGTGTAGATTTTAATCAAATAATTTTGCAATTACCATTCCAGATACCATCAATGTGTAGAAAAGGGATTTTTGTTCTGCTAAATACAAGTTCTCTAACCATTTTACTTAAAAAAATTTCAAAAGAATAGGGTGTTGTGGGGGGATGTGCAACATTTAAGATTCCCGGTCTGCATGTCGATATTTGACAGAAGCGCATACTGTCATATGTCGGTAGCTTGTTTTTTTATATATAACACACGAGATAATACGCCCTCTGATTTACTATACGAAAAGATAGTGACATTTCTCATGTTGAAAGTTTTTTTTGCGTTTCACATTCGTGGGTATTTCACGCATTGCTCTTAATCATTTTATAGATAAATATATTTGCATAGTTAGTTTGTTAAGTTTCTTTGTTATTCTGAAATGATTTTGTCATTTATTTACTTTGTGTGGGTGTCACGCAATACCGAGCAAAATAGCGTGTTTGGGGGGATGTGCAACACTTTTTTTGGGGTGATGTGCAACTTTCTCTTCTCGATAATTTTTTGCTATTTTATGATTTAATTTGTGTATAAGTAATAGATAAAAAGTCAAATAAAAAAAGATTTTCTTGGGTGGAATTTTTAATTGAAAAGCTAGATCATAGAACCGACATTTGGTTTTTTCAAAGACATAGGAAACAGCAAAGAGTTCTACTATTCAACTTCTCAATTTTCAGTGGTTAATTACATCATATTAAATTTTTTCACTCGATTTCCATTAATTGTAATTTAAGAAGCCCAAATTTAACATTAAAATCGAATTATTGAAAATGACAAAACGAACGATTTTGAAATTTCGAAAAAACATAACTACAAATCAAAATTCTGAAAATCTATTAATTCAGATTTATAGTATTTCACTTCCTCTAAACAATAGATTCATACATAACATATTACAAAAATTGATTTTTAAAGGTATTTTCCGATCAATGAAAAAAATGTTGCACATCACCCAACAACACCCTACAAGATACTGCAAGATTTTGACATTACACAAATTGAATAACAAATTCAAGTTTACTTCGCTTGACTGGAAAACAAAAACTAAAATAAAAAAAAAAATAAAATAATAATAACTATAATAATAATGTCACTTTAAATGCATTAGACTTACAGTATACACCCGAACTTGTGCCTCTTTCCATCTTGGATCCATCCGCATACCATACTTCACCTCCAAGTGGACAGGCTTTTTCCCAATCCTTTTTCAAAGGGATAATGTTCTTAAAGCAAGGTTTAAATTTCACTCTTTTGACCATTCTATTTTGTCCCATAATGATTTCTGGGATCTTCAATATAGCGGAAATTTTCACCCTATATTTTTTCTGTAATCTACATATAAAAAGACGTATGTATACTATATTGTAGTTCTTTTTATACAAAAATGTAGAAGTTAAAGGGGGATAGGGTCATTTTTTGCAATTTTTTCGTAAAAAAGGTTTCTTTCTCCTTTAGCTCTTAACCATCAGTTCTAATCGGGGTCGATATATTTCTTCTGCAATCTACACGTGAAAATACATGTGTGTACCAAATTTTAGCTCTCTATATCAAATACAGTAGCCGCAAGGGTAGGACACATAGCTGGGACGGACTCAAGAGTCTTTTCATAATAAGGGTTCCGTCGGTACACCCAAGGTGTAAGGAACCCTATAAATTATGATTAATATTTAAATGACAAAAAATGATAAGTAAAATGTGTGAATCTTAAATTTACTTACATAAATCAGAGAAGTTTAAGATGATCTATTTACTTGATTTTTAAACATGATATTTTGTTGTAAACATGAAGTTTAATTTTTTGAAAGAGAAATAAAAAAATAGTAAAAACTTTTAAAATTGGTTCTTTCTTAGATATCTGAATGAAAAATTAACATATTCTTTTTGTCAAGGTGTCATTTCTTTTAGAATTTTATTAGCTTTTATAAAATAAAAAGGGAAAAATTTTAGTTTTAATATTTTTGAAGATTTAAACCGTTTTATAGTCATCGAAGAAGCAGAGGTCGCACAATTTCCGACGATAGTGTACCATAAATAAAATTTAACTGCAAAAGCAGTGTAGCATTCCTTACATTTGGTAATACTTTTTGTTACAGCTGTTTGCAAAGAAGGCTGTCATCCTGTTCATGGACACTGCAATGTAAGCGGCGAGTGTAAATGTCGACATGGTTGGAGAGGTGAATTATGTGACCAGTGTACACCATATCCAGGATGTAAACACGGATACTGTAATGGTTCGAGTTGGCAGTGTATCTGTGACACAAATTGGGGTGGGATACTCTGTGATCAAGATTTAAACTATTGTGGTACTCATGAACCATGTCAAAATGGTGGTACTTGCGAAAATACAGCTCCTGATCAATACAGATGCACTTGTCCTGAAGGATTTTCCGGACCAACTTGCGAAAAGGTTGACAACCCCTGTGCCTCGAATCCTTGCCTAAATGGTGCTACTTGCAGAGAAATTGGTGAAATGGCAGTTTGCGACTGTGCGCCAGGTTACACTGGAGCATCTTGTGGAACGGATATCGATGAATGTGCTTCACAACCTTGTCAAAATGGAGGGACTTGTATAGATGAACAAAATAGTTTTACTTGTACCTGTCCATTTTCATGGCAGGGAACTCTCTGTCAATTTGATGTTGATGAATGTACACTTTTGGAATCTCCTTGCAAGAATTCATTAACTTGCGTTAATCTCGCTGGCGATTATAGGTAAGATCTACTAATCATATCCTAGTAAAAGAAATATAGAATGTTTCAAACGGATAGAAATTTTCAATCTGTTTGAAAGTGCACTTTGCAACTCTTTCATATTACAGAGACATTTTGACTTTATGGACGGGTCGGACATATGTCCTAGAACAATTTTTACTCCAATTTTCTTTGGTGGTTAGAAACTAAAATATCTACTAGCCAATATGTTCTTAAATCAAAAATGACTTCATCTAATACTAAGAGCAGGGGAGGATGAGGCAAGAATAGTTAGGTAAGACGTTTTCGAATCTAGCGACCAAATCTGAATTTGTATCTGCAAAACAAGTAGTATTTTTGGAAAGCCTGGATATTTGGCTATAATTTTGCTATAGACTGCAATCCCTACGAGATAGGAATAATTTCAGGAAAATTAAAATAATTCAGTCAGATTCAATAAGTATTCATTCAAAGAATTCTGAAATTTCTTTTATATAACAATCAGTTTCAACTCAAACTAAATTCATTTTTTACATTATAATTTTCACATAAATGTGCCAAATAGATGTATCAATATTAATAATAATATTATTGAAAATTTTTTTAAACAAAAAATGAAATTTTTGTCAGAAATAAGTCATTAATTAATAATAAAGAAATGGTAAACTAAAATAACATTTTTTTTAAATAAGAATTTTTTTGTAAATAAATTTATAGTCATTTCTTATCTACTTATTTTAACATCTTAATGATCACTCAGTATAATAGATATTATGCATTAATTTTTTTAGAACTAAGAACTTCATCAACTTTTTTTTACTCAACATCTTCCCTTCGCATTTGGCCGTCATTTACGCGTTTCATCTTTCTATATCCCAACAAAACATCCAATAAAGAAAGTGGATTTCCTATTCGGGATTGAATATTACTTTTGTCATCAACTGGTTAAAAAATTCTAGGCCCTGGAGATAGATAATTTTTATTTATAATTTTGCAATTGTTTTCTTCATTTAACTGCTTATGATGATGATGATATTCCTTCTTTTATTTATTTTAACGAAGGCAGTTCATATTTGGTATACTTACGTATTTTTGAGTGTAGATTACAGAAAAAATATAGCGAGCACAATTGGAGTTGATGTTCATATTGTTTTTAAGGAAAACTCATATTTTTAGAAAAAATCATGGATTTTTCGAATAAAAAAAGAAGAAAATTTTATCGTAAGGGATCCAAATTTATACTTTTTTACGTATTTTTACGTGTAGATTACAAAAAAAATATAGCGAGAACGATTGGAGTTAATTATCATAGTGTTTTCAAGGAAAAACTGATAATTTTCGATAAAAATATTGATTTTTCCCCAAAAAACGAAGAATATTATATCTAAAGAGTTTCAAATTTATACACTTTTACGTATTTTTGCGTGTAGATTACAAAAAAAATATAGCGAGAACTCCAAGTGTGCTTGCTATATTTTTTGTAGTGTTTTGCCATTCTTTATAATTTGCCATTTTCTTTTTTTTACCATTTGCTATTTTTTTTATCTTTTGACATTTTTTATTTGTTGATATTTTTATTATTTGTTGGGATCTAAAAAAAATCGTAAAATTGAAAATGTTAAATGAAAAAAAAATTTTAAAATTTTTAAAAACTTATGATAAAAGTATCATTAAAGTATTATTCCATGCTTACATTACAGGAAAAATTAATCAAAATTGGAATTTTTCCATCGGCCTTCACACTTTAAACCCCTCAAATTTTAGGATTAGGGGTTCGGAACCCTCGGTTTTAATGCGAGTGTAACTCGCACTTGTCCGATTTTTTTAATTAAATTAAGGAAAAATTAAAATAAGTTGCATATTCTCCTTATTATTTTTGTGTTTCTTTCGTGGAAATTGTACTGCCTCGTAGAGATAATAATAAATAAGTTTTGATCTATATAAGCAAAATGTGAGCTTGATCAGGTTTTGCTCAAGTTTGATTTGAAGCAAAATATTGCATCTAATTAATAAAATATGAGTAGTATAACTATGTCACTCTCAGGAATTAGTACCTCAGGCTGCCGCTAGATGGCGCCACTGTCGCTTACCGCCGGTCGGTATTTACCCACAGTCGGTAATGTAGATATTAGTTCTGCCGGATGCCACTAGATGGCGCCACTGTCGGTCGTTATTATCGTCAGTCGGTGATGTAGATTTTGTATTATCAGCAGGTAGGTTATGTTAAGTAGGTTTAAAGACTACACGTGTAGTTGGACCTACTGTTGTTTTGTACGTGGAGGGGATACGTGTATATATAAGTGGATCAAGGTATTAAAAAATAGCAGAGCGACAATGGAGAAAGCAGCCGAGCAGCCAAGCAGTCACCATAATATTAACTTCCGAAGATGACCAAGCCGATACAATAATTCTATCCTCTTCTGATAATGATATGGAGGAGAGATATATTTGGAGTACAGGTTACTACACCCTTGGAGATTACGACTATGTAGATGATGATGACGATGAGGATGTCGGTGGTGGTATCCTGGGTCCCAGTTTTGAAAATGTTGTCTGGATTCGAAACTCGGCAACACAGACAGATGATGTAAATATTTCCTGACACAATTAAAAAAAATTATTAGAATTTTTGAAAAAAAATTAAAAAATTTTTAGTTTTATTAAATATAAAATTTTAAACTTATTTAATATTTTTCAGTTGGAACAATTTGCAGCAGAGAATGTGTTGAGAGAGCAAAACAGGGATCCTCAACCAACATCTATAGAATCTGTACCAAATCAACCAACAACTCTTGAAGCAATTGTATCACCATGGCGGTCACCATCTGCAGAAGCTGTTGAAAATGAAATTAACGAACGAAGACGACATGCCAGGAGTCATCGATGTAAATGTAGACGGTGTCATCGTCGACATAGACATCACTGTAGTTGCCACAGACACCACCATCACAGACATCACCATCACAAACACCATCATCATAGAAACCACCATCACCTGCGAAACCCAGAAAATTTTAAAAATTTATATGTAAAAAAAAAAAGAAAAAAAATTAATTTTAAGAAAAATAAATAATTTTACAAATTATTTTTTTTTCAAACTTTGTAAAAAAAAATATTTCAAATAATTTTTAAATAAAAATTTTTTTTTTTAAATAAATATTTTATTTTTTAAATAAATATTTTATTTTTTAATTAAATATTTTATTTTTCAATTAAATATTTTTTAAATTGATTTGTTTAAAAAAAGAAATCATAATTTATAAGACTTTTCTCTTTTTTTATATATTGAAATTTCTATAAAAACAAAATATTACAACTTTACTGATTTACTTTTGTAAAAATTTAAAATCACTTTTAAAGTTAAATTTATAATTAACACTTTTATAATAAATTTTAATTATTTTTTAAAATTAAGTGAATTATTATTTATTAGAATCATATATTTTCACTTATTTTGATTTTATTCACTTGTAAACAAAGATCACAACATTGACTTCTGCTATCACTGAAACTTACAATTAAGATTGTAACCTTGCATTGGTAGTGTAACGAGCGACTATATTCTCGCTCGAATAACTTTTCGATATCTCGAATTAACGATATTTACGCGCTAAATAATAAATATTCAAAATATTAAATAATTAATATTTTGTATTCTAGAATTTATTCTCACATAAATTTAGCAATTGAGGAAACTATAAAAAGTTAACTTAATTGTAAAATAATATCTTCACGCTTTAAGTATTTTCAAGTCTTATTCTCAAATCAAAGAATATAAACAGTTCTAAGAAAAGTCATAAATTAAGTAAAATAGCAAAAGGAAATATGATTCTAACTTTCCTTTAATCCCAACCATGAAATAAAAACCCTTAAAGATCATAAAAAATCCACTTGAAAAAGTTGTGGTCCTTTCTCAACAGGACACCAAACACATGTTGACCAGACACACATGTAGACTCGCTAAATCGAGAAAAGTCACGTATTGATCAAACAAAGGATAAAATATTTGTAAAGAAATATTTTATATCAACTAGATTTTTACATTAAAAATATAAATTAAAAATCATCATCTTCTCTATAAAACATTATTAAATATATAATCGTGGTGTGTGTGTGTGTGTGTTATTTACACAATAACAAGATAATAATTAATTATTACATTAATACGTATGAGTATCTTATATTGTTAATTATAATATTTATAATATAATAAATATTATGTATAAGATATACCTTGAAATATATAATTAGTAAAGTGAATAGTAAATAAGATACGTAGTGTTGTGCAGTGCAGTGTTGCTGGAAACAGCATAGAATAAGAAAATATAAAGAGCATGCGCAATGAAGCCACATGGACTCACAGCTGAGCGCTTCTCCACTACTTGTACTTTATGCTTTACGTCAGATCTTATCTTGCCTTCGACTTGTCGAGTTCGCTCCAAGTCAACTTTGTATTTGTCTCTTTCTATATTTAATAAAGCTTGGGTTTTAATCTAGAAGTCGGAACAATTAATAATTGGTTAATTCGTTATCTAATAATTATTGTTCGTCTTCAAGAGGATTTTCCCTCCGTTTTAACGGAAATTAATTGTGTAACTATGTGTAACTATGTCACTCTCAGGAATTAGTACCTCAGGCTGCCGCTAGATGGCGCCACTGTCGCTTACCGCCGGTCGGTATTTACCCACAGTCGGTAATGTAGATATTAGTTCTGCCGGATGCCACTAGATGGCGCCACTGTCGGTCGTTATTATCGTCAGTCGGTGATGTAGATTTTGTATTATCAGCAGGTAGGTTATGTTAAGTAGGTTTAAAGACTACACGTGTAGTTGGACCTACTGTTGTTTTGTACGTGGAGGGGATACGTGTATATATAAGTGGATCAAGGTATTAAAAAATAGCAGAGCGACAATGGAGAAAGCAGCCGAGCAGCCAAGCAGTCACCATAATATTAACTTCCGAAGATGACCAAGCCGATACAATAATTCTATCCTCTTCTGATAATGATATGGAGGAGAGAT